TAGCTCCCCTCCCCCTGATAGCTTGCTGCTCTGCCCGCTCCTGTAGCTCTGCTGCCTGCTTGTAGTTTGATGCCCCACCCTCGTGCAGAACCGTGATCCAGTTGTTACCTGGTCAGTCATTACGCCTTATGGCATAATGGATAATTAGCATATTCCTCTCTTATTATATAAGATATATGCAAACAAGCCAGATGGGCGTGGAGATGTATAGTTTCAGCAGTTTTCTTGAAGACAGAGTGCAGAAACCTTAGCTGTCGCATTGAATGGTAGATACTTGAACTTTAATATACAATATACCGTATTTTTCGGACCATAAGATGCTCCGGACCATAAGACGCACCAGTTTTTAGAGAAGGGAAATGAAGAAAAAAAGATTCTGAAACAAATAGTGTCCTAAAATATTTTATGTGCATTAAAACCCAACATCACAGTCATAAACACATGTAATCAACCCTGTAAAGTAAACAGCAGCATTTAGAACCATTTTAGAGCCGGGCAAGCACACAGAGACCACACAGAGCCGGGCAAGTAAAAAAACTTTTTTTTTTAAAAGTATATGTGTAGGCTATATTTGGACCATAAGACGCAGGGACTTGCGTCTTATGGTCCGAAAAATACGGTACCTCTTATTTTGAAAAGAAAAGATTGGGGGAAATGAGTGATGTTGTGTTTGATTTAAGTATTCAAGTTAAAAAGAAGTTGCTAATGGTAGACTTTCTTAGGGCAAGAGAAAGGATCATCTTTAGGCATTGTAGAGGTAAGGATCTTTTTTATAGCAAGCTTTTGATCCACAAAATATTAGAGCTAAGAAGGGCTCTTGATGCTTCTTAATGAAAGTTTTATTTACAGAGAAGGAAACCGGATCCTCGGATAAAGTGGTTAGCTCTACTTCACCCAAGAATTTAGAAGCAGAGCTTTTCTACCACGTGCATGTATTTGTAGAAAATTTGTGGCTACTCCTATTAAGTAACCAATATTCCTATTATCAAAATTGTCTCCACCTAGTGGCAACAGATATTTTGCAAGGCTGAGTATAAACTTGAGAAAAACTGTTGGGGTAACTTTATTGGTCACTCCTTTTGAAGAAGAGTCAGCCTGGTGACAAACTGTGTTGTCTTTACAGAGGGAAAAGAGGAGACAGCGTGCCTAATATTGCATGTGCCTCCTGTGCAACAAGTCCAAAAACTGAGGTTAGCTTCTCATCCCTTTCTAGAACATGCATACCATTCATTACCTGTTTAAAATTATATAGTAATTTTAAATATATATTTTGCTATCTCACTTTAGATTTTTTTTTTTTAAAGTACTGACTACTAGACAGCAACAAGCTAGGCAGCTTGTGGCTTTACTCTCCTTTTTTTCTCATTTATTGTATCCCCTGTATTTTACCTCCTAAGTGTTTTTCAGCTCTGCCCCTTCTAATTCATACTTATTATAAAAATGTATTCATTTTTCATTTGTATTATTGCACAGTTCTTCAACTAAATTTTGCTTCCACAGGTCCATCCTCTACTGCTGCTGGAATTGATTTGTGGGTTTCAAATATAAATCTGATTTTCATCATTTCACTGTGGATTTCCCCCAACACCTTTGCATGTGGCATAGTAGGCCTCCATAATCTGGTCCACAGTTTAATTCTTTAGCCTCTGTTCTACTTCCAACCTCCCTCTTTTCTGTTAAGCTAAAAAAACAAAAAACAAAACAAAAAGGAGAGGCAACAAATGTTTATTTGGGATCAAAAGAATTGCAATTTTGGAAACACTGATTCAGGCAGAGCCCTAAAAACTGGCCTAATTATAGGGTGAGCACAAAGGGTTTTATTAGAAAAGGAAGGGAATAATTCATGAAGAGAAGAAAGAAATTTCTATTGGTGCTAACAAACTGAGTTAACATTTTAGCTATATGTGGCTGATAACTGATTCTGTCCAAAACTAGAATCCATAATCATCAGTTTGTGTATCCAGAATGTCTACTTTTCTGTTGGCTTTGCGATTGGTTGTTTGTAATACATTGTTAGTTTTGCCCAGTCCAAAGCTTATTTTCTCTAGTTCAAATATTCCAAAGGTTCAAGGCTCAAGGCATAAAAGCACTTCCTCTGGAATGGCTGCTCTGGCTCCATTTTTAAATGGCTTCACTTATGTCAGCTTCTCACATTTCACTCATTTAGTAGTGAACAATTTTGAGTTTCACAAACAGCCTATGCTGAGTTGTGCCTTTGCTTATTATGTTGGTCCTTCTGGATTACTTTCCTTTCCTTAGTTGGTTAACTTACACTTAACCTTAAATTCTCCTCTTCCAAGAGAGGAGTCTCTTTCTCTAGGAAACCCTTTTCTGATGTCTGCTCCTCCATGTGACTACTTTTTTGTGCTTTTGTAGCATTTACCAAATTGTGTGGAAAACATTGTTCAGGGCCCACTAGCCAATAAACTCTTGGAGGGTCTCATTTCCTATCTCAGTAAATGTTTCCTACTCAACTGGTTTTTATTGTGGGTCTGTTAGCTTCTAATGTGGGTATACAGGGGCAGAAGGAAAACAAGGCTGCTACTAATATAACTGATGTTGCCTAATAGTAGACCTTGATAGATGTATCTGAAGTGTTGGGGAAAGACTGTATTGGGCCATTAAGAAAGTATCTGTGTTGTGGAACAGGAGTTGAAGGAGTGGTGTTAGAAGAATGAGGGGTGATGAGAAATATTATAAGAGGGCGCAGGTGATCTAGATGATCTAGGTCTGGATTTTAAGTGGTACTTTAAAAAATCTTAGAACATTTATTTTTCCTGTAACAACTTAATTATATAGAGGTTAGAAAACATTAAGTCTGTTACCAGTACTCAAAAACTTAATTAAGACTGGATAATGAAGCTCTGTAATTCACCTTTGAAAGGTTTCTGCTCTGTGTTCCATGATGTGGAAAAAATACAATCCAATTAGGAGTTGATTATATTATCTTTTTAAATAAAGAAGCTATTAGGTTAGCAAAAATAAGTTAGATGTATATTCCAGTTGTTTAGTACAGTGACAACTTTTTCAATAAAGAACACTGTCTTTAGATGCTTAAGAAATTAATGTCTCTTACAGCTGTCACTTCAGATTAAAACTGCTGCAAGTGGTTTTCATGGGGTGATACGGCAGACAATGCTATGATGACAGTGAATTGCTTACTGAGAATTTATCTTTGCTCCCTATTTGCCTAGTCTTGAATAAATTTCTAAAAGCTAACACCTGTATCCTGTAAGCAAGGAGTGTTTTAATTAAGAAACAAATCATTTGATCATTCACATATTGTATGATATACTAATGAAAGAAGAAAAAAATGCTAAAGTTTGGAAGAGTTAATTTTAAAAAATGTATTTCTGATATATATTTCAAAGTCTAAAAAACAAATTAAGGGAACAAATTATATACAGGATTAAGACATAAAGTGTTGCTTTGTGAGGAGTTGGTTATAAGTTACTCTTAATTTTTTTTGGCAAGTGTGGTAGGCTGAAAAATAGGCCCTCAAACAATATCTCTATTCTAATCCCTGGCATCTGTAATGCTACTTTATTGGAGGTTGGAGGGAGTTGGGATGTCTTTGCAGATGTCACTAAATTAAAAATCTTTATATAAAGAGATTATACTGGATTATTTGGGTGGGCTCTAAATGTTATAATGTGTCCTTTAAAGAAATATGCAGCCCTAGCCAGTTTGACTCAGTGGACAGAGCATAGGTAGAGCATGGGTCTGCAGACTGAAGGGCCATGGGTTCGATACTGGTCAAAGGCACATGCCCAGGTTTCTGGCTTGATACCCAGTAGGGGGCATGCAGGAGGCAGCTGATCAATGATTTTCATCATTGATGTTTCTATCTCTCCCTCTCTTTTCCTCTTGAAATCAATAAAAACATATTAAAAAAACAAAACAAAAACAGAGACAAAAGGGATAGGCAGAGGGAAATAGATAAAAGTGCCATGGTGGGAGGGTGGTGGGGGAAGGAAGACATGAAAGAATGGCAAAGTAAGAATTTAGTTAGACTTCATGAAGGAGCTAGCTATGGGAAAATCTTTGGGGAAGAGAGTCTTCTGTTACAGATAGAAGGATGAGCTAGAGAAGGTTGTAAAATTAAAATGAACAAGATTGATAAAGAGAAGAATGACAGATGTGGCTGACAGATGGTGAACAGAACTCAGAATCACAAGCATCTTTAGGTGTTTGAATTTCTGTTTTAATTTCTAAAACAGGCATGGTAAACATTTTGCTCTACAACCAGCTTTTTAAAAAAGCTGAATGTTGGTTGTGTACATCTGTTGAACTTCATGTCATAGTATTCTATAACATATATATTAGCCATATTCTTATTGATAGGCATGCATAGACTTTTATGATTTTTTGATATTACAGATAATGCTGTTGATTTTTGGTTCTTAGTTTTTTCCCTCCCCCTGTTTTTCTAGTAGGTGGGGATGGGATGGCTAGAATGGGCAAAAGTTGGATATTTTTTTTCTCCGGGTCAGGAGGTTCTGGATAATATCCTGGCAGGTTAAGTTCTGGTTAACCAGTTTTTCCTGAGGGCAGAGCTTAGGAAGAACAGAGTGACCAGTAGCTTAAAGTGCTGGAAAGCAGCTTTTGTATCTTTGACAAAGCTTGGACTAGAGGCCATGCTGAAGAGTCTGAAATTTTCCTGATTTAGTTCTAAGTTCCAGGATCATGCCTCTTTAAAAAAGTATTGTTTTGGTTAAGACAGTTTCCTGTATCTTCAGTAATGATCAAGTACTTTCTGTGTGTTTAATAATTTTGGGCATTCAGAGATCAGTTAGTTTTTCTTGCTTTTTAGTAGTTTGTATTTTAAATGGAGAGATTCTTGAGCTTTTTTTTTTTTTTAATTTTTAAAAAAATTTTGAGGAGCCAGTGTATAATTTTATTTTTATTACCCTCAGGATTTACAATTTCTAAGAATCACTTTTGAGATTTATTTCCCTTTCAGATACTGAAATTGTTTTTTCTTTCCTTTTTATTCCTAGCAATGTCTCAGGCTGTGCAGACGAATGGAACTCAACCATTAAGCAAAACATGGGAACTCAGTTTATATGAATTACAACGAACACCTCAGGTAATGTAGACTAAGATAACGGGAAATATGATACATATATAAATTGGGATGCATTTATAGAAAATGAAAACTTGGAAGAACATAACAGTAATAATAAATTGATAAATAAGTAGTACTGACTTTTGTATGTTTGATCGACTCTTCGTTCAACAAATAATTTGAATCCATATTCTACGGGTTCTAAGGTAGGCACTAGGTGAAATGGTGAATAAAACATGTAACATCAGCTCTTAGAATTTATAGACATTAAACAGATAAAACATCCATGTAATTATACCTTGAGAAATGAGTAGGGAAGACTATTTTGAGAAGTTACAGATGGAGAAGACTGGGGGTGGAAGCAGGGTTGAAGGAGCTAAGCATACTTAAAAACTGAACTCATTTTAAGTTTGTGATGCCTATAAAACAGGCAGTGATGTTAACTAGAGAACTGACTAAATATTAAGGTTTAGAGATTGTCAGCACATTTACAGCTTAGTGAATAGATAAGATCGCCTAGAAAGAGGAGCAGAGGGCCTAGATCTTCATCCAGAGGAGCTTCAACATTTAGAAATTAAGTAATGGACAAGGAGCCAACTAAAGAGACAGGAAAAAATGAGAGGGAGGGGTGGGGGGACAAAACCTATGAGGAAGTGTTTCAAAGATGAGGATTCAGTTATTGTTTTCAACAGTATTCAGAAGATGAATAAGCTGAGTATTACAAAGTGTACATTAGATTTGTCAATATGTACTTGATGATTTTTTTCAAGAGATTCACTTGATAGATTGTGCTGCTATGTTGAAGAGGGAAAAGTGAAAACATATAATCAATTCTTCAGAAAAGTTTGGCTCTGCCGTGGAGCAGAGAAATGGAGCAAATACTGGAGGGGAACATAGATTTGGGAAGTTTTAAATTTCATTTTGTTTGTAAGGAGATAGAGCTGGGTAGACTCCTTCCACTTCCCTTGTCCAACACTCCCCTCTCTTCCCCACCTCTCTGTCCTTGACAACTCTAAGGTGTATCGTTCATATTTCTCCGTGTAGCAACTCTGTGGAGATACTCCTCCAGGCTGATTTAGTGGAGGAAAGTTGGCTAAAATCTGAGAGCAGATAGAATAGTCAAGAGTGATACACTTGATAACATAGAAAGGAATGTATTTTCAATAGGAAGAGGTATACTTTTTCCTTATAGCAAGAAACAAGATGATTTATGAAATTTGAGGTAATGTATTGAATGTTCAGGTGGAGAAGGTCTGCAGATAGAAGAAAAGTTGTACAATAGTGTACCAAAAGCAAAAATGAGTCTGTTAGAGAAACCAGTTACTGAGCAGTGTTGAACACCCATTTGAGTCTGGTGAAAGTTTTAGTGATCTCAGTCTGGTTGTGAGATTCCCCCCATTTAACCTCCACAGTGCTGCTCTACCTGCACGGGTACAGGGCTGGAGAACAGGGATGGTAGGGTATATCCAGGGTTGGGATTTAGCTAGGCGAGTTCTTTCTAATCAGGGCAGACTTACTAGCTGAGTCATCATCATTCTCTGATTATTTCCTCATCAGAGGTTATAATTCTAAATCAGAAGTTTGTGTATGTATTAAAACTAAGTAATAAATAGAAAATGCTTTATATAGCGAGGCTGAAACATGATAGACTATTGATAATAGTGATAGTTATTATAAATATAAATATATTTTACTTGCATTCTTTATGGACAGTACCTGTTATTTCTGTCTTTCCTTGTGGAGTCACCAGTTTTTGACCCTTTAGAGAAAGCAAGTACTATGGAGAAGCAGTAGAAACAAGGAAGTGTCACTAACATGGGAGCTCCTGAATCTCTTTTCTTATTCCATAGGAGCCAGTACTGGTGGCCTTTGAGCTAGGTAATTTGTTCTCAAGGAAGAGTGGATAGTGGTGGTAGAGAAGAAGCAGGAGTCACTAGTCTCTCTGCAGCTGGGAGATGTGTATATTGGAACTCTTAATGTATTTTCTCACTAACATTTTTTAGACATGACAAATAAAAATACTTCAGGTGTATCATGATTTAAATCAGTTAGCCGAGAACCTGACCACTGTGTAAAATTGCTTTTGTGGACCAAAACTTTTTAAGTTTCAAAGAAATGATTTTAAAATGAAATAGTTAAACCATGCATATCAATTAGAAAATATTTGTATTGGAATCTTAAAATCTTTTTAATAGATGGCATGAAATGTATAACTTACAGTAGTCCTCTCTTATCCACAAGATTACATTCTCAGATACCTAGTGTATGATTGAAACCACAAGTGGTACTACTAGACACTGTAAATACCTTGTTTTTTTTCCTATACAAACATACCTAGGATAAAGCTTAGTTTATAACTTAGCCAATGTCATGACTAGAACACTTCTTCTTACCATAGGTCTTAGGAACCTCAGCATACAATATTTTCTATTCTTATTGAGAACTTTCATCTTTTTATTTAAAGAAAGCACTTTATAGCTTCTCTCTGTCATATCTAAATTGCCAGCATCACTCCTCTTGTGCTTTGGGGCCATTGGGAGTAAAATAAAGGTTACTTGACACAGCTCAAGATACTGAGACAATTGATCTGCTAACTGAGAAGGCTCCTGTGCCAGCCTAAAAGTATTGTAGCTTGTGTATACTGTGGGGATATGCTGGACAAAGGGCTGACTCACCTCCCAAGTGGGATGAAGCAGAATGGCATAAGGTTTCATCACATTACTCAGAACAGTGCACAATTTAAACTTCTGAATTGTTTATTTTTGGAATATTCCATTTAATATTTTCGGACTGTGGTTGACCATAGGTAACTGAACCGTAGAAAGTGAAGCCACTGATAAAAAAGGGGGGAACTATATTATCAAAATGGTGTCATTTCTAAAGGTGGAAGAAACTTCCTCATTTTGCAGAGTAATGAACAATGTTAAATAGTTATTTAGAACCACATAACTAGTTAATATGGCTAAAACTAAAACCGAGAGATCAAACAAAGGACTTATATGCATGCATATAAGCCTAATCAATGGACACAGACAACAGGGGGATGGGGGCATGAATGGGAGGTGGGGATTAATGGGGGGATAAGGACACATATGTAATACCTTAATGAATAAAGAAATTTTAAAAAAGAAATAATTTATTGCCAAAACCGGTTTGGCTCAGTGGTGGAGCGTCGGTCTGTGGACTGAAGGGTCCCAGGTTCGATTCCGGTAGGGGGCATGTACATTGGTTGTGGGCACATCCCCAGTGGGGGGTGTGCAGGAGGCAGCTGGTCGATGTTTTTCTCTCATCGACATTTCTAGCTCTCTATCCCTCTCTCCTCCTCTCTAAAAAAAAAAAAAAAAAAAAAAAAAAAAAAAAAAAAAAAAATCAATAAAATATATTTTTAAAAAATAAAAGAAATAATATATATATTTTTAAGAGTTGCTTTTCACTTGACATATTCAAAATTATATAATAAAATTAACAGTATGGTACAAATTTAAAAAAATAAAACCTAACGTATCTGATTCCTAATTCAATGCTTTTTCTTATTATACCCAGGCTAATTTACTCCTAGATGTCTTTTAGATACATTAATATATTATCTTTAGCATTAAAATAAGAGCATTTGTATATAATGCATTGGCGGGGGCAATGAGGAGAATCGGGGGATATTATAGCCCAAACAAGATTGGCTGTGAGTTGACACTGATAGTGGCTGGGTGATAGGTATGTAGATGTTCATTTTTGTCATCCTTAATACTTTTGTGTATTTGAACTTATCAACAAAAAAAAATATTTAAATTTAAAAAGCATTTAAATTTCCTTCTTTTACAGGAGGCAATAACAGATGGCTTGGAAATTGTGGTTTCACCTCGAAGTCTACACAGTGAATTAATGTGCCCAATTTGTTTGGATATGTTGAAGAACACCATGACTACAAAGGAGTGTTTACACCGTTTTTGTGCAGATTGCATTATCACAGCCCTCAGAAGTGGGTATGTTGAAATGAGTTATACCAGGCACTTCAATTGTACCAAGACAGTGTTCTATAGGTTTTTGAGAAGTACATACTCTAGAAGTATTGATTTGAGAATTGGAAATTTTTATAAAGTCTAGGTTTAAATTATTGGCATATCTTTGTTTTGAAATAATTCATTTTGAAAAAATACATTTTCAGAAGCTTTATAGGATGCATATTTATTTTGAGGAAATTATGAAGCCATGTTTTTCTGTTTAAGTATACAAAATAATATCCTTATGAATTGTTTAAATAAAGTAATTGATAACATAAATTAATATAGGTGATGATTTTTTGCTTGTATGTCATGGGATTGAGAAAGGGGAAATTAATATTAGGAAAAGAATTTATTTTTATTTCTAAAATGTTATTATTGGGGATATTCAAATTTTTCCCAACAACTAGTATAGAGTATCTGAGATTTCCAAAAATCTTGCTTACTCAAGATTAGTCAGATTTTTAATAAAGTTTAGGTTAATCAGTTTAAATTTATGTGACTTCTTAAAGATATTAGAATAAAGATAATGTAACTATTCGGAAGCTAGATATTTTTGTCTTTAGCCTAAAAGTACTGGCATCGTTTACATTGTTTTTCTTCTTTTTATTTAGCAATAAAGAATGTCCGACATGTCGGAAAAAGCTAGTTTCCAAAAGATCACTAAGGCCAGATCCGAACTTTGATGCACTCATCAGCAAAATTTATCCAAGTCGTGATGAGTATGAAGCTCATCAAGAGAGAGTATTAGCCAGGATCAATAAGCACAATAATCAGCAAGCACTGAGTCACAGCATTGAGGAAGGACTGAAGATACAGGCCATGAACAGGTACACTGGGAAGAAGGTGGCCATTTTCTTGAATACTTTATTAAATATTGAATTTACTTAGCCTTCATTTTGAAAAAGACAAAATACAGAAAGTAATAAATGGTAGTTCTGCATGATTACATTTTTATGCACGTGTGGTATATGCTTCCAGGTATCATATATGCCTGGGTTTCCATTTAAGACAGCAGAACTTTTGAATACCCTTTTATACTCACTTTTCCCTCCACTTACCTACTATCCTATTTCTCTTTTTATAGCAAAACTTCTTAAAAGAGTTGTCTGTGCTCACTGTCTCTACTTTATTCATTTCATTTTGAACCCTCTAGTCAGACTTTAATCCCTTGTATCTTATCAAAAGTTACCAGTGGTGTCCACATTGTGAAATCTAATTGCTGATTCTCAGACCCCATCTTACTTAGTAGTCTTTTACAAATTAATTTTTCTGAATAATTTTCTTCTCCCAGCTTTCAGGAGACCATATTTTCCTGGTTCCCTTTGTATGTTATTAGCTATTTCTTTACCTGAAACTTACCATGTATAGACAAGAACTGAACTTTTTCTTCTTAATCCCTATTTTCCTTCATTCTTGCTCATTTCATTTGATGGCAGCTCTATCATTTCATTTGCTTTATATGTATAACTCTAGATATGTGTGTGTGTATGTATGTATACATCTCCATAAATACATACACACACATACATATCTAGATATATCTCTATCTATCTATCTATCTATAGATTGGTCTAGGCCACCATTATCTTTCATTTGGTACTGAAAAATCCTCATGAGTGGTCTTTATACTTTCCAAGCTTAACCCCACATAGTCTATTCTCAGCATAGCAGCCAGAGTGATTCTGTAAAATTGAAAGTCAAATCATGATTCTACTTTGCTTCAAAGTCTGTAATAACTTCTATTAATATTCAGGTTAAAAGACCTTGGCTTTTAAAACCCTACATAATTTGGGCATCTTCTCACTCCCATTCTCTTTTTCTCTCTGACATCCCCTCATATATTCAGGCCTCAAAGTAGGAGATGCCAATAGAGTCCCATCCATATCTAGTTCTCACCTTGGCTGAACTTCAGAGACACTTGGAAAGTTTTTAAATCCTAGGGCTCAGGCAACACCTCAGACCAACTGAATCAGAATCTTTGATTGGATTCAGGCATCAGTATTTAAGGTTTCAGGAGTGGTTTTAAAGTATAGCCTTTAGTCTGGCCAGTGTTGCTCAGTGGTTGAGCCTTGATCCATGAACCAGCAGGTAACAATTGGATTCCCAGTCAGGCTACATGCCTTGGTTGCTGGCTTGATACCCTCTAGGGGACATGTAGGAGGCAGCTAATGGATGATTCTCACTCATCCTTTATGTTTCTAGCTCTTCCTCTCTCCCTCTGAAATCAATAAAAATACATGTTTTTATTTTTTTTAAAAAAAGTGCAACCTTTAACCACTGGCCTAGAGGTTAAACTCCGTTAAACTCATCTGAAATTGTATTTCGTAAAGTTAAATAAAGTATTAAAATTTAAAAAAATTAATTACTTTTTACATTCAATATTATTTCATTATTAGTTTCAGGTACACAGAATAGTGTTTAGACAATGATATACTTTACAAAGTCCTTCCCCCAATATTTCTAGTACCCACCCCCTTTCATCATACATAGTTATAAAGTACTAAGTTTTGGATGTATTTATTTTAAAAGAGTTATACAATCCTTTTTTAAAATTGATTTCTTTTTCTTTTTCTTTTATTTTTTTTTAGAGAGGAAAGTGAGAGAGAGTAGGGAGAAATAGAAACATTGATTAAACATCTGTTGGCTGCCTCCTGCATGCCCCCTACTGGGCTTTTATAGAATTGTCTTGACTTTTCTAGAATTCTAAAGTTCTGTAAACATGCTTCAAAGGGATTCACTAAAAATGCCTAAGTACATTTTCTGCAACGCCTTTTGTTTCCTTAACTAGACTACAGCGAGGCAAGAAACAGCAGATTGAAAATGGCAGTGGAGCAGAAGACAATGGTGACAGTTCTCACTGTAGTAATGCATCCACACACAGCAATCAGGAAGCAGGACCTAGCAACAAACGGACCAAAACATCAGATGATTCTGGGCTTGAGCTTGATAACAATAATGCAACAGTGGCAATTGATCCCGTAATGGATGGTGCTAGTGAAATTGAGCTAGTGTTCAGGCCTCACCCCACACTGATGGAAAAAGATGACAGTGCACAGACAAGGTAAGTGTGTGGGTTAGTTTTAGATTATCTGAATTCAGAAAATTTAATTGGGAGTTCAAAGGCAGTTTTGCATAAGAAAGAAGGGCAATGCTTGCCATCCAGTTGACTGCCAGGGATCATTGGATATTCCTGATGCCTCGTTGTTGCTTTCTTCCTCCATGCTTCCCATCCATACTTGGATATCTGAAGGGAATGCCCTGAACCTCCTCCTTAGAGGAGGGAGAAAAAAGGGTCACTTAAATTTCTTAACAATGGTACTGGGGTGCCAATAAACACCAGAATTATTGCTGGTGAGGATGGCACTGTATTTCAGCATTCTGCCTGCCATTGAGTACAGATAAACATCAAATATTTGCTCAGTTATTGATGAGTATACCATTCCTAACTCCCCAAGGTTAGCACTTTTATGCTCAGTCTTAAACACCACAAAATTGATGGATTTTTCAGCAATAAGCAATTGGTCATATTCTTGCTGCTGTAGATAGCAGAACTTTGGTCATTGGGTTGAGATGTTCTTTTTCCTCAGTACTGTGTATATTTGATTTTTACCATTTTATATCATACGGTATTTTATGGGTATTTTTGTGGCCTGTTAGATAATATACTTTCAATAAGGAATTTTTAGCTAATAGATGATTATAATTTGATACTATTTTATCAATAATAAAGACATTTACATTTTCTAGAAATGTATTAGTCCTGTAATCTAAATACATTTTCATTAATTTAGAAATTAAATTTTAATGATATCTTTTTCCAGATACATAAAGACTTCTGGTAATGCCACCGTTGATCACTTATCCAAGTATCTGGCTGTGAGGTTAGCTTTAGAAGAACTTCGAAGCAAAGGAGAATCAAACCAGATGAATCTTGATACAGCCAGTGAGAAGCAGTATACCATTTATATAGCAACAGCCAGTGGGCAGTTCACTGTGAGTATCTACAGTAATAAAAGTGTAATCTGCTAATTAGACTGGATGAAGCCATGCAGTGAGGGCAGAGGCGGCAGAGGCAGAGGCAGAGGCGGCGGCGGCAGCGGGGGCCCCTTAAACGAATTTCGTGCATTGGGCCTCTAGTTTAAAATAATAGGCCATTGAAACTGGAAGCAAATTAGCCATCTGAGAGTGGCAAATGGTGGGGTGGGGCCTAATAAAATGGCACAGGACTGGATCCTGACACCCCGAGAGAGGGAGTACCGGGTAGTTAAGTTTTTGATATGTTTTATGAATAGTAGAAGTGACAAGAAGTTTATCCTAAGTTTTTTTTTTTGTTTGTTTTTTTTTAAAGGTGGACTTTCAATAGTGAGATGTTTGTTTCATCTCCCTATTACTATGCTTTGAGTTTTCATAATTCTTTCTTTTTCTTGTTGTTTTAGGTATTAAATGGCTCTTTTTCTTTGGAATTGGTCAGTGAGAAATACTGGAAAGTGAACAAACCCATGGAACTTTATTATGCACCCACAAAGGAGCACAAATGAGCTTTTACTAAAACCAGTCTGGATAATGAACTTTTTTTTATAGCCTATTTCTTTATTATTAAAGATGTACCATCATTACTTTTATGGACACTATCTTGGATATGTTGTTCAACTTTCTTCCTGAGCCAGCCTCGTTTATACTCTTAGAATCTTTTCCCCTTAATTTAAGATTTCCTTTTTGGAAGGGAATAACTATAGTTATTCAGAACATTTTCTTTCCTTTTAAAAATATATCTAAGTAGTATGTCTTACAAAGTATGGTTTCATTTGGAGCACTCTTTGACCCAGGAATTTTCATAATTTTGGATTCTTTTTTTTTTTTTTTTTTTAATTTCACCTGAGGATATGTTTTATTGATTTCTACAGAGAGAAGAAGGGAGAGAGAAACATCAATGTGAGAAACATCAATGGTTGCCTCCTGTATGTGGCCCGACTAGGGTCAAAACTGCAACCTAGGTATGTGCCCTGACTGGGAATTGGACCTGCAACCTTTTGGTGTATGGAATGATGCACCAGCCGTTGAGCCACATGGCTAGAAAACGATTCTGTATTAAGATTCAGTTGGCCATCTTTTTTCCTCCCCTCAAAAGTTTAGGCCTTACATAATGTGAAATAATATGTATTTTGACTTTTCCCCCCCCTGGAATCTTGTATGCGTATAGTTTTCTATATAAGCTGTAGTATTTTCATGAAGACCAAGGCTCAAATTTACTGTTTAAAAATTAGTTCTCATAGGATTATTTTCATGATCTTTTCCACAATCAATCAATCTCTCTCTCTCTCTCTCTCTCTCTCTCTCTCTCTCTCTCTCTCTCTCTTTACAGAAAGGTTCTTTATGAACGTAGTGTTCATTGTCATGCAATGTTATTTTTCCCATTTCTCCCCTACTCTAATTTTGGAATTTCTGATCCTGGGAAAGAATCAAACAAAATCTAAAGTTCAGTGAGAACTTGGTTCATTTACAGATTTCACTGAAGAAATATTGTATTGGTCTTATGTAATCTCCAGGTATATATTTAAAGAGGTCTTTTTTGTGTGTGTGTGTATTCTGTCAGTGCAGTTCCTTTATTATGTATGTTTGATGATTTTTTCTATTAAAATACCAGAAATATGGAGATATTTTGCACTTTAGCCTTGATGAAAAGTACAAGATATGTTCAAAGCTTCCCCACTTCTTTCTATGTTGGTAGCTATGTAAGCTAAGAATAATATGGCATATGAAAATGTTTGCTTCTGTTTGAAAAATGTGTTTAATATTTGAGTTGCCATATATCAGTTTATAAATTTGGTGCTTTGCTAATTACACTCTAGAGAAGCAAATTACCAGAGCGTAGACTGCCTTGATATGTAGTAATACATAATTCTGTAGAAGTATGTCAGCCAGGAGGGTAAAAGTCATTGTCTTCTTAATTTAGTTTTATATTGAGGGACAATGTTCAGCGTTTGGACCCAGGCGGCTTTATGATGGCAGGCAGAAATAAGATGGGATTGTGTTGTTTTTCACCCCTGTTCTGATTTCAGGTATATTTCCAAGTTTGTATTCTCACAGTATTACAAAGACATGTTTGCATTGAGAAATAGACCCTACAGGGTTTTTGTCACAGGGGGAGACTAGTCCTTCAGAACCAGAACTAAAGTCTTATCTAGACCTTGGAATTATTTACCTGTCATTTTTGACATTTTGGGCCAGCTTGAGGTTTTAAATCTTCAGCCCAATATTAAAATAAAAGTATAGTCTTATTCAATTTTTTACCATTTTACTGAAAATACTTAAAATCTGTTTTTATAGGGTTTTTTTTTTGTAATCTGTGCCATGAAATTTGAAAACCATGAAAAGTCACGGGAAATTTTGTATTCAATTACTTTTGTTGTTGTAATGTTACATTGTATAAACTATCAATGCATGCCCACTCAATATAACCCTGGTTTTGTGCTATAACTGTTTAGATTTTATTGGTGACATTAGATTAGTGGTTGCATTAAATAACTAAATTCCCATTGTGATTATTAATTGAAATTTTGTCTGTAAGCAAAAAGTTATTTGTGAATATAAGCTCTGTGCTTAGAAAATGTATGTGTTTATATTTGCCAGCTTGGGGGTGGATGTAAATTCTCCATCACTAGTGAACTCATTTGGATCTGTAGTCTTTTACAAAATATAGTTCTAGATATTTGGTAGATATTATAGAGATTTGATAGAGAATTGAGTGCAGTGTTGTATGTGTATGTGTGTGTGTTTGTGTTTTGGGGTGGGTACTGTTTATCATTACTACCAACCAAGATTTTATAAAGTATTATCTAAATAAGTTCTGTAGCCATCATCTGTGTTGAGGAACAAAAGGCTCATCAAATGTGGTGAGGCCATTGGATACATTATCATTTAAAAATTTACTAGGGTAAAATATATATAACCAAATTTACCATTTTAATGATTTTTTAGTTTAGTGGCATTAAGTCCATTCACAGTATCGTGTAACCATGACCGCTATTTCCTGAACTTTTTCTTTAATCATCCCAAAGAAACTCTTGTTACCCGTTCAACATTAGCTCCCATCCTCCCCCCAACCCCCGTAACCTGTTCTACTTTCTCTCTTTGAATTTGACTATTTTAGTCACCTTATGTAAATGGAATCATAAAATATTTGTTCTTGTGTCTGTTTTGTTTCATATATTATGTTTTGAAGTGTCACCCATGTTGTAACATGTATCAGAATTTCATTCCTTTTTTTTTTGCTGAATAATATTCCATTTCATGTATATACACATTTTGTTCATCTGTTGATGGACACTTAGATTGATGGACATTTTTTGCTATTGTGAATAATGCTGCTATGAATATTTTGTGTGCGTATCTGTTCAAGTCTCTGCTTTAAATTCTTTGGGGTATATACCTAAGAGTGAAGTTGCTGGATTATATGATAATTATGTGTTTACTTTAAGGAATCCAAAACTTTTCCAGAGTGACCATAGTATTTTACATTTCCACCAACAAAGTATAGTAAGGATTCCAACAGCTCCACATCCTCACCACTTGTTTTTCTCTTTGTAGCTACACTAATGGGCATAAAGTGTTATTTTATTATGATTTTGATTTCTCTTTATCTACTGGCTTGTGATGCTAAGCATCTTTTCATGTGCTTATTGGCAATTTGTATATCTTCTATGGAGCAATATTTATCCAAGTCTTTTGCCTATTTTTAATTATTTTGTTTTTGTTGTAGTTTATACATTTTGAATATTAATTATCTAATACATTATTTGCATCTAGTTTCTTATTCTGTAGGTTGCCTTTTCACTTTCTTGATAGTGTCCTTTTATGGACAAGTTTTAAATTTTGGTGAAATTCAATTTGCCTTTGTTGTTGCCTGTGCTTTTGGTGCCCTATCCAAGAAGACATCACCAAGTCAAATGTCATAAAGATTTTCCTATATGTTTTTTTCAAGAGTTTTATAGTTTTAGCTCTTACACTTAGATTTTTTATCCATTTTGAAGTTTGTATTTGATGAAAGGTAAGGATCCAACTTTGCATTTGTTGAAAAGACTGCCCTTTCTCCATTGAATTGCCTTGGCAGTCTATTCAAAAGTTAATTGACTATATGTTAGGGTTTACTTATGGGCTCTGTTTTCCATTGGACTATATGACTGTCCTTTTGCTTTTACTGTTGGAGAAATAAGTGGGCCAGACTTTTCTGTTGTTTATGGGTATGGGTTGGCTCTTGCAATATTTTGAGAAAGTGAATTTTCTAAGATTCTTATTGGTGTGGACTTATATTTCCCGAGTTGTGAAGTCATATGCCTCTTTAACCCAGTCCTGAAAAGGTATAGGTGGGGGTCAAGCAGAGCATAAAGGAGGGCCAGTGTCCAGAACTTCACTTCCATGGTGGAGCCAGTGCGATGGAGCATTAAGCCAAAGTCCTTTAGTCCATTGTGTGGAGTCTACATGGATTGTGGGCCACGTGGGTGAATGCAAGGGAGTGCACACCGTGCAATAGGAGTCTCGAGAGTGATCTTCCTTAGTGTAGGAGTTTAAATACTCAGGTTGTGTGCCCTATTCTGGCCACTGACTTGTCGTAGGTGTGACTGACAGGTAAGCATCTTTCCAGGTCACTCAGACCTTACTGGGCATGCATCTAAATGCCTTTGTCCAGTCCCTTCCCCCATGAATCAGCAGGAAATAGACTTGGAGAGTGTTCAATTCAGCTTTCTAGCAAAGCTGTATAAATGGCATGTCTGTATTATCTAGTCTTCTCTTTATTTCTTCCCTGTTAATAATGAGGCTATTACAGTGGTGTCAGTGCCATACTGTTTTCATTACTATAGCTTTGTAAGTTTCACCTATCATTTTAAATCCTCTGAACCCTATGAGGAAGACAGTATTTCCCTGGTACATTTGAGAAAACTGAAGCTTAGGATTCTGACTTGGATAACTAAATACAAAATAATTAAAATGTCAGATGAGAAAAGGAATCTTTATTTTCTTTTTAAATCCTCACCAGAGGCCATTTTCCCATTTACTTTTAGCGAGTGGAAGGGAAGAGGAGAGACAAAGAGGAAACACTGGTGTGAGAGAGACATCGATTGGTTGCCTCTCACGCACCCCAGGGATCGAGCCTGCAACCCAGGTACATACCCTTGACTAGAATCAAACCCAGGACCTTTTAGTCCACAGGCTTATGCTCGAACCACTGAGAAAAACCAGCTAGGGCCCTCAGGCAGGAGGCAACCAATCGATGTGTTTCTCTCACATCAATATTTCTCTGTCTTGCCCTGTCTCTCGCACTCTAAAAATCAATGGAAAAATTATCCCTGGGTGAGGATTAAAAAACACACACACAAAGAAAACCCCGACTAGGGCGAAAAGGAGTCTTTAAAAAAAAAAACAAAACACATTTCTATTTAGAATTACTTGCTTTTTTAAATATTAGAAACATAGCATATTAGTGTGCAATTGTTGTAACTATAAAAATGGCTTCCTTGAAGTGCTTCTGAATTAATGTAATTAAGAAAATTAACTATGAAAACCTGCTCTTCCATAAAAGCATGCGAACTGTAAAAGTTGTCAAAGTCAACTTATTCAGTAAAAACAAGTTTTGTAGCATTTTTAAATTGCCCTATCCCCATTTTCTCAGTCCCAGGGTAGACTTGAAAAGGAATAGCCTTGTAACTATAGCAGCTATGAAACCAGCAGTTTGTAAACTGCGAAGTGGGTTCAAGCTCTCCCATAAGCCCCAACAGGGAAATGTCATGGTTTGACCAGTTTGGTGCCTCACTGAAAAGCTCTATTCTCAGAGCTTGTCTTTATTTGACCTGACACCCCTCATTCTCTGCAAACAGCCCTATCTTCAAAAACAGCTGCAATCGTTTAAAGTAGTAGCTGCCTTGAAGCAGTGCTAAAAACAGGCTGATAGAACCAGAAAGGAAGAGCTGAGGGATGGCATACCTGTAAAGATTTAGAAAGGCTCCAAGGTAATTCTTGGGACTGGAGAGGGTGACAGGCATGTGCAAGGCTGCATGCATACCCAAGACAAAAGGGAGGCACCCACCTGAGCTGTGGCAGAAGTTGAGGCTCTTCAAGCAGGAAGTGAGAGTGAGGCACAGCATAAACGTCATGTTGGAGTGTTGAAAGCATATTTGAAAACATTCACAGAGCACTTCAGGGCTGGGAGAGTTACTGTTTCAGGGCACCTAATGAATTTTCTGTCCAACCTTTAGCTGACCTTTAAGCTAACAAAGCAGAATATAGTGCTCGATACAGCAAAGAATGCTCACTTTGCAGAACTAGTGCGGGTAGATTACTAAACAAACAGCAAACTCGACAAAACCCAAGGTTGTGAAGGGATTCTTTTATCCAGCATTGCCCAGTTATATTTCAAATACCTAGTTTCCAACAAAAATTTGCATGACATGTAAAGAAACAGAAAAGTGTGAGAAAGCCTAGATGTTGGACTTAATGTAACAAAATGTTTAAATCAGAAAATATGTTCAAAGAACTAAAACCATTTTAAAATAATTTGAATAAAAATACTGGGTTGGAAGTATACAAGAAGTGAAATAAGTCCAACAGAGGGGCTAATAGATTTGAACTTTGAACACGGAAAAAAGGAACTAAAGAGAGACCTGTGGGACACCATCAAGTGTATTCAAGTTCCAGGAGAGAAAGTAAAGGGGCACTTTATGTATTTGAAGAAATGCCTCGATTTTCAAAATTTGGTGAAAAACAATCTACATCTAAGAAGTTGAACAAATGCTAAATGACAGAGAAACTCTTGGAAACAGCAAGAGAAAAGTGACCCATTGCATACAAGGGATTTTTCTTAAGATTAATCACTCGATCTCATGAGAAGTCATGGAGGTAATGAATGAAAGTATTGAAAAGGCAGTGAACCAAGATTTCTATATGAAGCAAATTCTCAAAAATTAAAGATATTAAGACATTTCGCCTGGAGCGTTGCATTCTGAGAACTGAAGTAAGAATTTTGTTAAGATTTGGCTGAATTTGTTTTGTAAATCCTTTACTCCACTGAACCTCACTTAAAATGGATGTTTCCTGTTTTGGTGGATGAACCCTTCATGGAGTTAGTTACCTGGCAAAAAACATCCCATCTGCTTTATCCCTACAATCCCTCCTTATCTTCAGATCCCAGCATGTTCTGGGGACAAGTACAAAGTACCTCTTGAAAGAATGCTTTTTTGGTCCTGTATACTGATGATTTATGAAGAATACCTGTGGAAATAGATTCCGAGTATGTTAGATCTTAAAGTAAGGAACATAATCTTAAATTGGGTCAAATTATCAGTATGGGTACACTTACACTAGAGAGGACGTCAGTTTGAATAGCTGGGAGTGGTTCTGTTCAGTTGGTTGAAATTTTGACTCTGCTAGCAGAGCCTCATCTAAATTGGAGGTGAGGTGTGAAAATTCCCTGATACATTACAGAGAAGAAATCAAAGACTTAGAAGGGGGAATGTTGGATTGATTTTGTGATTGGAGCAACTCTCTTGGCCATCATTGAGAAATGCCATGGTGAGAAGAGAACTAACACCCTGAAGAGCTTTATATAGTCTGAGAGGACTTTTTGGCCTTGGCTAATTGATCATATGAGCCAAAGGACCAAAATGGTCCATTGGATTTATCTAAAACTGAAAACTGCAGATCACTACAGCTACTATAGAAGTTAAGATCCCTTATCCGTTTCCCAGGATATAATTCACATTTCAAATGTCCATTGAGAAAGGACTCCTATAAGTTTGTATTAGGCATGTTCTTCTTAGCCTTCTCCAAAGTCTGTGGCCGTTTACCAGAGCAGCTATTTTTGCACCAAGGAAAGAAATCCCTAGACTTTTAGAAATTACTAACACCTGGTCTTAGTCTCATTTCTGCAAACTATTCTCCAGTGAGTAATGAAGTTTTAACCAAAATCCACCACAGTGGCACCCAAACCCTTCACATTACTTCTCCCATTTCCTGAGTCTATGGTTAGAGTATTACCATAAGCAATTA